AAAAAACAGATCTTGTTGTAAATAAATTATTATTATTATAAATTATTATAAAATTGATAAAATCTAAAAATGTGTAGTATTTTCGTTTCTATAATTTAAATATTTCCATATAATTGATAAATAAATGTCATTAATATTTTGTCCTATAAAATAACAGCGACAGCCAAATAGCGATAAATTTAAATGCGACGAGATAACTCTGACTGAGATGTAAATCAATATTAAAAATGACTATAACATAATAAATATTATAGTTTAAAAAATTTAAATTGACATTAAAAAACCCATGATGTGGCACAGCTGTCATTCGGGTGTGTGACTGCAAAGTGACGCGGGAATTAACGAAAATAGCTTTTACTCCAGCCCCTTTCCAGCCGTGAAAGCAACAACGACGATCGCGGTGATTCCGCGGGGAAATTCAGTGTTCATTAGTAAATTAAACGTTTAACGCGCGATCGCGACGATAGCGAATATCGAGCCGAGGCGTTTGCGAGCTCGCAAGACGAGTGTGGTACGCCGGAATCCGAATACCTGCGGTATCCTCCGCGTAGGTTGTGCAACAGGACAATACATATGCGAGCGAATATGTATGTATATATATATATATATATGTATGTATGTATATGTATATGTGCGTACATAGGAGTGAGAAATACACGTGTATGTACGCGTGTACGTACATATCATACGTACGATCTATGCGGTTATATACGTACGTGTTAATATGACCGCGTCCATTGGGAAATCGCATCCCAAAACACCACGTCGGTGGCCATATCGGATAATTAATTATCGTTACGTTCAGCGACGATCAGCCGCTAATCAGAATAACGATAATTGATCGACTCGCTCGTGCTCGTATCCCGCAACCGGACTTACCTGAAACATGCGAAAAAAAAAAAAGAGCAATCTGATTAGTACAAATGTTACATGTGTAATCAAGGCTGTAATATCAGCGCAACGCACAGAGCAAAATAAATTCCACACCGGATGTAATTACATAATCGTGTCCTTCATTTTTCTCATCATGCTCATTTGCACATTGAGAGCGGGCTTTTGTAAATAAATATACCGTTTCACGGGGATATGTTTTTAAATCCTATTATATTATCTGAGAGAGAGAGAAACGGAATCTTCATTTTTCAAGCAAAAAGGACAGAGGTAGCCGGCGTTGGCTGTTTTGTTGGCGGGATAGCTTACAGAATGTGCCCGCGCGATAATTAACGAGCCATTCGTACGGTTTGTTTTTCGCACGAGCCCTACGTCGGGGCTATATACATATATAATTGGTCGCGCGCGAAATAATTCTTATTGGACGACAATGTGGTCGGGGGTAACACAGTCCATTAACGTAATGGCGACGATATTGCTTCCATAACACGGAGACGATTTGGATACGCATCTCGTCCGTGATGTATGTACGAGTTACAAGTGGTAAAAACGCATGGAGGGATACTAATTGGCATGCAATTACATTCGCTAGGCGTAATACTGAGCTAATTAGATTAATGAGATCGTGTCGAGTATTTACGCGTATTGAATTACGCGCACAATCGACTTGTTGTCATTCGATCCGAAAAAAAGACATGGGAAACAATTGGCAGAGCTTCAAATCTCTTGTCTGCGAAAATTCGAAATTTCCAAATAAAACTATATGCACTTTGAAAATATGTCCGTTTAATGAATAAAAACAAATATAAAATTTAAAATAACGTAGCACAAACATATTTTATAAATCTTATCTCTTTTAAATTTCTTGCTATGGCTGGATCAATCCGCAAGGACCGCACCATCAAGTTTGAACATTCAAATGTAAAATCGTTATTCGCGACTCATGACCTTTTCTTCGAGGATGTGGAATTAGGTTAATCATTAATGACGATAAGTGCACACGGGTCATAATATTTTCGTCCGTTATATTCACAGCTCCGCCACGTAATGTTCGCTCGACTAGTTAAATATTTAATCTGCCCCAGTTCTCTGATCGATTTTAGCACCAAAAGTTCTCGCCTACTGACCTGATCGCTCGAAATATGACAATGTTGAAAATTTACGCTATTTTTGCTACGTTTGCTACTCCTTCATTTACGAAGTTTCTGATGTTCGACAGTTTTTATTTAAATTTTGTGTTAATTACCTCTAGTAGTAGCTGTACGAGATTAATTCGAGAAAATTCATTATCTTAGAGTTTATCTTAGAGTTCATTTATTTAATTCAAATAAAATTGTAATCTTCCTATACTTCAATTCGTATAATTCAATGCTCTTCTATTTACCTAAAATAAGATAATCAATCGTGCAAACTTCACATTTGCAATCAAATTATAATAAAATATCGCCCAAAACGAAAAATCAATATGACTACTTTGAAATTAACTTAATATTTCATAATTCCGTCAAGTAACTCTTTGCTTCAGAAATACGATAATCTTGAAAATTTCTCTTACAGAAAGTAACAATCATAATTCGACACGCGATTCGACACTTGAAGTTTCCATTATTCAACGTTATGATAATTATTTCATTCGATATTCAAACTGCAGTTTGATGCAATCTTTTGCGACCTATCTCAAACTTAAAGACTAGCGGTTAAATCTCGTACCGCCAACGGAAAATCAATTTGTATGTATCAATGTAATTTCACCATCAATCCTCTTTCAGACTACGAAGACAATTATTATAAAAGCGAGCAAGATAAATAAATTCATTCATCCGCAAGACGTAAACGCCTGTAGAATTGATTTTCTATCTGTCATGATAGCATCATCTATGACGACATACGTGTTTTTCACCTCGAGATATAATTTAATTGATTTACCATATTACAATATATTTATGTTATTATAAGCATAAAAAATAAAAATGAATAAGCTAAATAAATAAAATACAGCAAATAACAAGAATTAAATTTCAAATATTTTGCACGATAATTGAAATAAAGTTTACTTCAAATTACATTAAAGAATGCCGCAAATCCGTAATGGTTTCTTCGAGCATAAATGTTATATATAAATTTTATATATAAGTGTATTTAAGTAATTGAAATTCACGGAATATCGGGCCGAGGAAAAGCGTCGGGAAGTATTGGAAGAGAAACCGTAGATTGATTATGTGTTGAAAATTTTAGATAAAATGTTCACGGAATTTAAGTATTTATAATAAAATTTTTTTTATTTGTCAAAGTAATTCATTCTATATTTCTCGATTAAATATCA